AGAGAAATTCATGTTTTCTTTCCTGCTTCACAACCAAACAGACAGCATTTGCTACAGGCTGCTCCACTTACTGTACCTAATATTTGGGTTACAGGTTTCCAGAGGAGTGTTTTAATTAGCAGTGGTTGTAATAATGCCTCTGAGCTAGAAGGGAAAAGAGATGCAGAATAAAAATCTCTCGTATAGTTATACAAAAATTAAACCGAGGTCAGCGTGAGCTCTCTCAACATGCTCCTGTGAATAAATGTTTGACTTTCCTCTAACATAATCAGTCTGATTACATTTCTCTTCTATAACGTCTCGCCGTCTGATGTCCTAGTCCAAGTGCACCGAGGTTAGATAACCTCCCTGACCCTCTTTACAGCTGATTTACTTTGTAAGTAATTATCAGATAATAGAACACGGAGGCTGTGACGCATATGTGCTGCGTGTGTGTTTGAGTGGCATAGCTGGAAAAGACATCAAAACAGACGCGAGGACGAGGAAATTACTTAAAAGCCTCTCCCAGCGTGTGGCGAACGCCTGGTGTGAATTCGATCCGCCGTCACTTTGTCCCTTTGTGAAACTTTAATACAAACGGTTGTTTATGTGTTGTTCTGTGAAGGACTTTTTAAGTCACCGCACATCAGAAACAGGCCTCGGCAGTTAAGATGTTCCTTCATTCTAACCTTGCAGATTCATAAATGATTCATGTCGGACAACTGGATTCCACTTCAGATGTATAAAGCAGGAATCTGATTTTTGTGTATGTGTAAGATGTGTATTAACCATGGTATTAAGAGAGAGTTGACAATAAACACGAGGTTGTGAACTCCCCATGTTACGCAGATTTTGTGGGGCAACATCCGGTTCTTCACAAAATGTCATGACTAATTGGAACTAACAGTTAAACTTATGTAAATGCACATACAAATTCTTACAGAGCAAAATGGCTCAAATTTAGCCCCAAGCCATGACGGAGCCTCAAATACTCGAGAACGATTGATTTAATTTTACACTCACTGACTTATTTTTGTCCTGGCTTCTTCCATACGTTCTGACGGCATTAAAAACCAAATATATCCAACACTAACATTCGACTGTACTATGATTTAGCACATTTTCTGTTAAAAACAACGACTGAAACACTGGCTGTTGCTCTTTCATATTATTCACTAACCTCTGTGGAGCTGCAGTAAAACCACGGCCGTTTGGTTAAACTGCTTCACTCTCAGAAGCGCCGGAGTCTCCATCAATATGTCCACGCCATCAGCACTTTTATTTACGACACTGTCACCGATAACGCTTACATTGAGAGCGGATAACAGCCGCTACAACCTCCGCCGGGTGGTTAAGTAGATTAAATAAAACACTTACGCTCAGTGCTGCGCAAATACCATAAACCTGAATGTTTCTCAAATGAGCTTCTAGGAAAGAAAAAAAAACAAAACACCTCACAATCTGTAGGAGCGCCGTTTAATGGTTGAATGTGGACGTTTGGCTCTGTGTGAGAGGAAGGTGATTAAACGTCACTGGGTGTTCTCCTCTCTGCTTTATAAGGACGAGGAGGAGACCCTTGATCACTGACCACTCTGTTGCTACCTTAATCCTTGTCTGTCTGTGAGGTTTAATTCACGACACCATCACCGTAGTTTTCCCTCTCAGGAGGACGCCAGAGGAGCGCCACTTCCTCTCTTGACCATAAACACCTAGTTGTCTGAGGGGTTTTCAACATCCCCCAGCAGAAGAGGTGAAAAAAAACAAAGTCCTGATAAAAAAAATTACAAATTACAAACATTTTTTTAAAAATGGGACCACACTCTGATAAATTTACACTGAGAAAAATATGAATAAAAATGTAAAGGGCTGTAAAAAAACAAATGTCATCACTACGTCTGGTCGAAGTTGTGAGAAGTGATCCACTGTTGGCAGAAGTGACATCATTTTATGTGCAAACCTATTAAACCTAAGCTGAAATCCCTAACCCTAACTCAAGCTGATAAAATAATAATACTTCTTACTTAAACAATTAAAAGGGTATTGCTAATATTAAAGATTTAAATTTAATGTAATATTTTTCATGTATATTTAACAACATCAATGTTTGTGATCATTTCAAATACCAGGCCATGTCAGGTCTGTGTCTCTCTCTCCTGGGGTCATTAGTTTCACCACCGTCACCTGTGTCCTGTGATCAGTGTCACTCTGCTCACCTGGAGCCCTGGGTATAAATACACCTGTCCTTCACTCAGGCTCGTCTTTGTTGGGTCATTGTTGTTGCTGCTGTGTTACTGATTTCAATGGTTTTTTACTGTGATCTACTCCCTCTGCTCCTTTCTGCTCCATGTTCCCTGAGTTTTAAGTTTAAACTGTATGAGTGAATTATTGTGAAACTTGGAGTGTGAGAGAGAGAGAGAGAGAGAGAGAGAAAAAGAGAGAGAGAGAGAGAGAGAGAAAAAGAGAGAGAGAGAGAGAGAGAGAAAAAGAGAGAGAGAGAGAGAGAGAGAAAAAGAGAGAGAGAGAGAGAGAGAACACAAGTGAGTTCTGGAAAATTAAGTCCAGAACTTTTTTTTCTTTATTTTTCTTTCCCCAAAGTAGATCCCTTGTAGATCCCAGATCCATCATTATCTGGCCAAATATGTTTGTTTAATTTTTATGTAGATTTTTGAATTTTTTTTTTTTTTAATTATACGTTGTTAATGGGATAATGGCCATAACCACAGCAGTCTCCTCTCATGGAGGACGGTGATGGTGGAGATGACAGTCTCTCTCTCTCTCTCTCTCTCTCTCTCTCAGGCCCACTACAGCTCAGAATTTCCCATTTACCTGGCTGCAGTTCCAGACAGTGCGTGTGTGTGTGTGTGTGTGTGTGTGATCTGCCCATCCTGTTTCTTCACACACACCCGCAGTCTGCCGGGCCGCCTTCTGAGATGTGAACAGCAGACGTCACAAACAAAAACGGCTGCTCGCTCCACAAACACAGCAGCAGTAGACAAACATCAGATGGTTCTATTGTGCAACTGTGATCTGTGGTAGCTGCTAGTGTTGGAGCGTTTACAGACCAAACCTGCGCTGCTGCTAGCTGTCACGTATTCACTCCATTGATCCTTGCTCTGTTCAGCTCTACAGTATCTTGGTGGAGTTTATGTTAGATGACGGTAACTCATGCCAGATTTCAGTTCTGAAGTCATTTGGCTGCTGTTCAAGAATTAAGCAACAAATAAGTAGGAAATTCTTGTCTTGAAAACAGTCTGATGTTCAGGGTTAACTTCAGGGAACAGCTGCGTCCTGGAGTCGCGTCACACTGTTGTAGCAGCAAAAAAAAAAAAAAAAAAAACACTTTAAATGAACTCAGTATAAGAAAACATTGTTCCTACGTGTCCGACCGTGGGAACAAAGTGAAGCATGGGATTAGCTGTAAATGGTTGGCGTGTTATTCTGAGGTGAAGACAGATCTGAAGTCTGAAGGGAATTTTTGTTATTAAATGTAAAGTACTACTCCAATAAGTGTAAAGTATTTGCAGTAGCCTTTACAGTTTTATATATTCTGTATGAGCCCTGAGTCTGGACAGAGTAAAATGGCTGCTGCAAAACAAAGTGGAACTGCAGAGCTAGATTATTCTGTCAAAATAGCTGTTCAAACTAGACATGTTCCATCGGAGACGACGTCTGCTGCTCATTCCTTTAGTTAAATACTTGAACTCAGGGTGAACTCAATAAGATTAGAGCCCTGTTTTTGTCTGTGGGACACAGACTAAAGAGTTTGTTCTTTTCAACTGAAATACAATTTGTACTAAAATATTTGAAGTTGCTAAATATCAGAGTCAGAATCAGCTTTGGTGATGAATATATAGTTACAGAACAACCATCACTGTCAGTATTCAACTTCATGTCATCTCCAAATGTTTACAGACGAGTGAGCGACGTCCTTTGTTTAGAGATGATTGATGATGAATATGATGTCATTAACGCCGTGCCATGTTTGCAGAGGGAGTCTTCACTGCACGTCTCTGTTAGTAAAGCTGAGGCCAGTGTTTGTCTTTCCTTTCTGGAGTTTTTTCACGTGCCTCGCTGTCACACTGAGGGCAAATTATGTTAAAATCTCACACGGATGCATCGTCTCCTCTCGGCCTGGACTCCGTCCATTTTATCTGAGCAGCCTTCAGCTCACGGCCTCTTCCTGCCTCGACCTTGTTCTGGCTGCCGTTCAAAGTGCCCATCACTGCATCTGTCCGTCAGCAGAATAGCAACTGATTAATGCTTTCACTGTGACCATTAATAAAAGTGCCAGGAGGCAGCTCAGTCTAATTGAGAGCTACAGCGAAAGAGCTGCAGCTAAGAAGGACATGTACAGTAGAGACGCTCCGACTCACTTATAGCTGTGTGTGTTTTCAGTGGATAGAGAGTGAGCTGCTCTGGCTCCTGACAGCCGAAGATGTAGTCACTGTGGTGCAGCTAACAGTGTGCTCTTATTTATGTGAGGGCTAAAGACTGGCTGTACACACACAGTGTTTTATGATTTTATTGAGTGCGTTTTTCCCGTCCTGTGTGTGAACTGCTCGTCTCCAGCTTCTTTTGATCTGGGTTTTCTTCACAGCAGCACAATCATCTCGGTGTCATGATAAAGTGCCGGTGTCTCGGCTGCTGGCACCGGCACTGATCCACAGGCACTCTGCTGGACACACCCTGACTACTTGGCTGCTTTGTCTCATCCATCTCTCATCTCTTCACACACACACACACACACACACACACACATATACACAGCAAAGTATAACGGTGGTGCAATAATTTGTTCTGAGGGGGACGGGAGAGGATGCACTTCTGTAGCACTTGTCTGACCACGGACTTATGTCCAACACGACTAAACACACTAGAGAAATAAGTTTACACATTTAACAATATTACCCAACAAAACAACTAAAACTAGTTGTTTTTTGTTTTGTTTTGTTTTTTATCACTGGCAGCAGAATAACTCATTATGAAGTATGGAGCCTTCGATAGATCCACTGAACAGGGCGTGCGTTGGCATCAAGGTTTATTATCCTTTTATAATGTACAATATACAAAAATATAGGGTACCAAAAGATTCACAGTGTCTAAAAGGCAGTGATTACAGTCTACATGACAGGTCTAACAGTACACCTGGTAAGTTGCATAGAAGGACACAGAGCCTCACATCGCAGGGGACAGGGCTTCAAATGGACCAATCACATGACAGACTTTCCTGCCAGGCCAATAAGACCTAAGTTTAGATCAAGACCACTTTCTTTTATGCAGCTATTTGAAGCTAATAATGTGGAAAAACTCTGGACCGTGATGTGCCGAGTGATTCTCAGACTGTTTGCTGTTGGAAAATGGGAAGTTTGAGCAGCTGGGAAAGGTCAAAGGTCAAAGGTTTTTGGTCACATTTCAGAGCTCTGTCCCCAAACAAACCTTATGGTCGGTGTGTACTTAGCTGCTGCACTTAAAAAAAAAAACAACAACTATAAGGCTTTCTTTTTTTTCTTTAAACAGTGTTAGCTGTACAATATACAGATACATTTACACGGTTTCTCCTTATGCTCATTAAAATGGGGGTCGAGGGCCAGAAAGCTGGCACTTCTATATACACACACACACACACACACACACAAGTCGTGCTCTCGTTTTCGTGCACATACAGTAACTAAACCCAAAAAGCAACACTGATCAGGTAAAAATAATAAAATATAGCTGTGAAAATGCCCTTTAAAGAAATCAAGCACTGACTACACGGAGTCTCAACCTCTGACAGGAAAAAGAGAAACGATGCTTGAACTCACAATGATTAACGTGAAATGTTAAAAAAATCTGGAAAACATTTGAACACTCAGAGCCCTGTCCCCGTGGGCTGTACGTGGGCCACGCTGCTCTTATGAGGTTATGACGACATTTACATTTAATAACATTTCATCACATCCCTTTGTTCAATCAGGCATAAGCACACACACATACACAAACGACATGTGTCTAAACACACATGCAATTGTTTTTCTCCTCACCAGCAGCCAACTTCTAAGCAAGCATTGTTTTTACTTTATTTTTTAACATTTATTTCAGCTAAAGAAAACATGGTGTTATTCTGTTTTAATGTAAAAAAAAAAAAACAAGTCATATTTTTTGTTTCCATTGTAGAAGCTTGAAATGTGATGTTATTGTAGACTGTGTATAAAAAATGGACAGAAGTGTTTCCTTAATGGATATTATTTCAAATTGAAAAGCTCATACTCCTAAATGAAATTTAATTTCCACGGCTGAGATGCTGTGAGCATACTTTAGCTGGACCGTTCTATAAGAGCCTTTGGACAGGAGTGCACACCTTTGGTGTTTTTCACATGTATATTTTAGATCTCTGTAAATTGACACTGTCCAAGTGTGTGACGCTGAGTGTGATTGACAGTCTTTAAAAGGGTGGGATGGATTTGAAAGAAAAGGGACTCTGGTTCAGACCTCACCTGTGAGGAAGCTTCTCCAGCTAGGTCTTATTTATATGTGGTCTTCATGCATTCTCTAGAAAGTCAGTGAGGGAATTGAACTGGCAACCCACACCACCAATCCTGTAACCACCAGGCCACATGCTGCTCTGACAAACTGTGGTTTTCATGAGTAAAATGTATTGGGTCACTCTGCTGTCTCAGACAGAGACAGTTTGTAAATCACAGATAAAGTACAACTTGTGTCATGCTTTACAACACAATTTCCTCCAAACACAACTGCAACTGAAAAGTCTTTCTCACTCTATTAAAACGGATCCAAACCAAGTTATGTCAAACTATGAGTAACATGTATAGCATGTGAGTTGTTACATTTGCGGTCAGCTTCTGCCGCTTCACTGGGGTTTGCAACCAGGTGGCGCTGTCCATTTTTTATAAACGGTCCATTGACGAAATGAAGCTGCTGAGCAATAAAACTAAAAGAAGCGTAAGAAAGGAATATATTTATTCATCAAATTGAAATTAGACCAACAACAATTAATCAGCTAATTCTTAACAAAATATCTTGTCCTATGCTACGGCTCTTGTGAGCTTAATACAATTATCTTAACAAAACAAAACAAAAAGAAAACATTGGAAAAAAACAACAAGTGCCATTCTACTAGCTTATTCTACCGTCATAGAAACGCGATCCAGTTGTTCAGCGCACTGGCCATATTTGATATGACCGCCGTGAGCTATTTAACACTCAGTAGAATGGATGCGTCTGAAGAATCAATTGGAGAATCAATCAATCCTCTGTTAAAAGTCTTTATTGTTCTGGTGTGAAAAAATAAACAGTAAATGAATAATAAAAACCAATCCCGCCCCGGCCTCCTACTGCATACAGGCACCCAAGGCATTCTCAAAGCTATATGTACAGTTCCACTACCCACAATCCCCCACTGCTCTGACTGTACAATGACATGTCCTTGTCCGCTGGTCTTGCGTCACAAGCAGATTTGGAGATTAGAGAATTTTCCAACGTTGGCAGATGTTTGGTGTCTCTTTCAAACAGAAACTTAACTGAAGTTCTTATCGTTTTTTGTCACAAGAAAAACCAACAAATGAAGGTCGTGCTTCTGCCCCCGACCGACCCGGCTGATATTGATCTGTAATTTATTTCATCATTGACTTCAATGACTCCATTGTTGTTCTCTGGCTCCGTGTTGTGTGCGGCAAGGGCAATAAGCAATGTTTTTCCTCAGTAACTGACTTTGCTGTCCAGGGACGTCAGAGTTCATTACAGGCTGTAAAAGTGTCTTCAAATGGAGAGAGGAAAAAAACAAAACAAAACAACGTCCTACATCTGGAGGAATGTACGTTTTTAATAAGGTTCATTTTTCTTGTTCATTCCTGTTATCGGTGACACCCATCTCAGCACCTGTGCCGATGTGTTGTGTTCCTAAAAAGAGTCCTCCACTGGATCCTCTGGTGTTGATGATTCTCGCTGATTGCATCAGTCCCTGAATGCACCAGGACTCCTGATAAAAAGTTCCAAAAACGCCCTTAAAAATACAAACTCTACCATTTGGAAGAGAAGACAGGAGTAAAGAGCGGCGCAGTGTTGAACGGAGGTTTCAGTTTAGTCACCATGTCATTTTAACAGAGTCCGTTTGGGCCAACAGCAGCCGTTCTTTTCTTTTTGGAGTCATGTCTCAGCTGTTGTTGCTGTGGTTGTAGGTCCTGCACGGCGAGGGGGAAGAGTTGGGTTGATAGTCGAATTTGCCGCGCGTCGTGGGATAGTAAGTGGTGGTGTAGACGTTTGTCTGCTGCAGCGGTGTTGGATAGAAGTTGGATCTTTCATCTGGCAGCAGGTTGTTTTTGTTCAGTGTCTGGAATGAAGCGAGAGAGAAAGGAAATCAAACTTCCCAGCCGGAAATCTAATATTTTATACATAAATCGGACGGCCGTCTACTCTCACACCCTCTGTCTCTGGTTTATATCATCCATACTGAATGAGACTTTTTTTTTTTGCTTTAGCTCTCAGTAAGAAAGCAAATGAGCACAATATCACCGTCTACAGTTGATTCCTTGAGTTGCAGCAAAACGAACGTAGCACAGTGGCCAATACCTGAAATTACACAAACTGACAAGTGAATTTTGACAAGTGAACCTTATGTTGTCAGTGACCATAAAGTACATAACCTAGCTTTAGGTTATGTAAGTGAACTTGTAAGTGAAGTATGTTAGCTAAGGCTAGCTAAAGTTTGTCAACAAATAGATTGCAAAAGATAAAAAAACAAGATATTCATATAATTTTGCAGTATTTTTTAAGGCTGTAACAACACAGAGGTAACAACAAACCATTTGAACTAATTCACTTCAAGGCTTCTCAACCGTGAGCTCTGGACTAATGAATGCGATGGCAGGAATTCACTGAAGCCAGCCTGCGTTCATTCTAATGCATTTCCTTGGTCTTTGAAAAGGCTAAATGTTCAGTGAAGCACATTCCAGGTGAAGCATTAGTCTAATGCAATCCATCTGAAGCACTCAGGGAGGCCGGTGGGCTGAGGTAATCAGGTTAGAGTCGGTGAAATACACAATGGTAAGCATCATAAATTGGCCTGGAGGAGAGGGAGCCGCAGGATAAACAGTGCATGGCGCTGCACGCCGACATCGGCCGCAGCATCCAGCATCTTCTGGCTGCCCTCTGTGGTCGTTAGCGCTAACGAGTTCAGGCTCTCAACACCACAGCGGCTGTCAGCATGTCGTTGACGTCTGCACGGCCACAACAACAAGAGTCGGGACAATAAGTCGGGAGGATGAACATGGTCAAAATAAGAGAAGGGGGCGGGGTCAGTGTAATTAGACCCTGTGTTCCAGCCTCTGTGTTCCAGGGAGAATCTTTGATATCTGAGGAGCTGCAGACCTGAAAGCTGCTGGTTGAAGGATGTTATGGCCTGTGATGTTTCACTGGCACAACATCAGACTCCGTCTTAGACTGATCAATAGGTTCATATCGGAAAGCATTAGAAGCTGATGTTCATTGGCTGATGTCAGAGCAGCCACAGAAGTGCCCGTCAGGGACACTCTCCACCTGGTGGCTGTAATTGCTAAGATAACTGGAAATTGAATCCCAAATTGATTTTAACCCCTTAAATGTGTCCGGAATTATGGATGAAAATGTTTTGAATCAAAAATGATTACCAACAAGTTTCCCCCAAAGCTATGCTATATGTGCAGTCGTTTAGATTTGGTCCAGGAAACACAGGCAGCTGTTGGTTAGAGGAAACAGAAACTAAGTCCCAGGTTCTGCTCGTCTACCTGCTGATGTGACCTTCCTGCCCTGCCTGTCCTTCAGAGGCATCAAAACGACAACAACAGCTGTTATAAATCTGACACGAACTGAACAGTAGAGATGTTCTGTGATCTGATGACGACGTGTTTGAGCTCGTTATGAAGATGGGTTCATATATAAATTGTTGTAAAGTTACTCTCATCTGTGGTGGTTCTGGGTCAGTTGTCAGGAAAGAATTTGATGGAAGTTTTGACAGAAAAATACCAGGTCTAGTTCTACACAATAACAGAATCGCAGCTCTATAAACGTGTGTGTGTGTGTGTGTGTTCTTGACCGGCCTGCCTGCAGGCCACATCCGTCTCCTCCTAAAACTTTCTTACTCTTTCGCCAGTTCAAACTTCAAAATGTGCAAAACCCCTCTTGCAAAACCAAAACGTATTAGCATTTTCAGTTTCTGAACCAGTAGGAGGTAAATTGAAGAAAACAGGATGAGGCAGAGTTCTGAAAAATAAAGTTTGGATGAATTTCCTTTTTCTTGCTCTGACACAGGAAGCAGACACTTTTGTAGACTTCTGAATTCCCTGAGGTGTAAATGATACGTGTCTAATTAGTCGATGAAGGCGTTGGCAGCGGATTACTGCTGTATCACTTAACATATAGTTGATGTGTCTGATGGATAAAAGCCAACAGAAAAGACTCTACAGCAGAGTCCTGGGAGTTTGTCATGTCATCTAACAGTGAACCAATAAGGATCAGAGCTCTAGTTCTAATGTTTTTGCTGGGGAACAAAAAAAAGTTTCAAAAAGTCTTCTCATCTCCAGCTGTTAATCACATCACACTGTGACGCACGTTTACAGGAGACGATCAGACAAAGCGGCAGATGGTTTGTTACCCACAACCATCTGTGTGGTATTTGTGGCAGTTATCTTTAGAAAAGTGCAGGCACTCGCCACTAAATAATTGGCAGGTGATTGAATGAACCATCTGGGTGTCATTGTCAATAGCTGTGTTTACATGGACACAGATAATTGGAATAAGAGCTCGATGGGAACGGAATCGCTCTGTGAAAGGAGGGTCAGTTTCCTGACACTCTGATCAGATCAGGGTCGTTTGGTGAAGGAAATAATTCGGATAATTTGGACTTGTTGTTCAGGTACTTTTTCGAGAGAGTTTTTTAAAAATATATATATTTTTAAAAATATTGTTACAGCATCTTGTAATTTTTTAATTTTGTTCCTGCAAAATATATTCTTTCAAATAGGTTACAATATTTTTGTAATCAATGTTGCCCATGTTTTGTTATTGTTTTTAAGGGGCATTTTTTTGAGTGCTTTTTTTTTTATTGCCTTTTTTAACCATTGTTGTTGTAGTTATAGCAGTATAACTAGAAATAAACATGGCGACTTAACTACCCTAACCCATTAATATAACGCACTATTGTTTAAAAACAATAACATGAGCATTTTGTAAAAACCTTATAATTTTACTGATCCCTCTGTGTGAAAGGACATAGAAAATTTGTGGTTTGACAATAAGTAAGAAGCGTTGGACCGTAAAGGTAAACACATGACCATGAAAACACAATCATCTTGTGTTAAACTGATCTACAATCAGTGAGGGAGAGAGTGGAGAAAACAAGGCCCTAAACTGCAGTAAAAGCTGATCAACCTGTGGTGGAAATGGTCGCCTGACTGGTTGTGAATGTGAATTCACAGCAGAGCAGCAGCAGTGGAAGGTGTAGGGGAGACGGAGGGGTGAGGGTGAGGGCGGTGTGGATAAAGCTTTAGAAAGTTAATGGGTCTCATTAATAAGGACAGGGTTTGTGGGCAGGTAGAAAAGGCACGAGGAGGAATAGAAATGAACGGCGATTCATCTTCTGCCGTTTGTCTCAATTGAGATAAATGTATCAAAAAATGCTCTAAATAAAACATGAATCACATTCACTGCCCTTGAATATCAAACATGTAAATTGTATGTCAGTGTTGGGCACATTAGAAACCGTCAGCGCTGCGGTTTTTCCCAATCTTTCCTCGTTTGTGAGAGACGTGGATTGAAGACGTACCTTGAACTCCATGGGCGTGTACTTCTCGTTCTTTGGCGTGGTGTTGCCCTTGTAGTTGAGGTGGTTGGGGGTGGTGGGGTGGATGACGGCCGACTCCTGCGACGGCTTGTGGAAACGCTGACAGTAGATGTAGATCAAGAAGGACAGCAGGCCCGCCCCGAGGAAACAGGACACACCGGTGGCAATTAGGTGGATGGAGTTGAACGCTGCAGGGTGAGAGAATAAACACACCGTGTCATGACAGAGGTCAACAGGTGGCGCTGCATCTCATTCTGGAGAACTGGCTCTCCAGTTCCCTCCGTCTCCGGTGCTCGATTTATAACCATTCCCACTTGGAAAGAGATAAAGACAGATTCTGGATCAGCAATGCAAAGGTTATTTAGAGGACTGGAGCTGGAGACGGAGTATAAATACTGACTTCCTCAGTTCTCTCCCACATCATCGCCCCCCTTGAGTTCTGCTGTTGCAGAATTATTCATACAGGTTCACTCTTCACTTTTTCTCCCCACAAGGCTGGTGACAACACTGTCCTCTGTGTCAGCTCTCTCTCTTTTCTCTCCCTTTTCTCACCCACCTCATACTCACCCACTGTTTTTTTTTTTTTTTTTGGGGGGGGGGGGGGGGGTTGATTTGTCAAATAAAAAGCCAAGCTTGTTTAAACAAAATCATTTCTCCTGGCAGACACTTGACTGCTACCAGCACAGACTTTTGTACTAATTTAACTGTATGAGACTGCAGCGCAAATGGTCAAGTGTTTTGAACTGAACAGTGCACAGAAGTGTCTGCTTTCATTTATTTTTATTATGAACCTGTCCCAACTCCTGATTTTTTTTCTTTTCTGTTTTTGCCATTGAAATTCAATTGCCAAACATCTAAGACCCCTACTGTGAAAAGACTGAGACACAGTATCACTGCAGTAATCAGTGAACTGCTGGTTTTTTACTGGCTTTAACATTACTATTCATTTTCTTGAATGCAAAAGTTTTGAGCTGCAGGTATGAGGTATTTTCCGACAGAATGCGGCATCAATTTACTTATTCCAATCCCATTTAGTTGAAAAGAAATGGCCGTTATTGAATATATATATATATATATATTTTTTTTTTTTTTCAATTAGTGGAAATCTGCTAGGTTTTTCTTTTCTTTTTTTTTTGATTGAGGATTCAAATGCACAGACGGTTAAGTATATACTATATATATTTTACAGTTTTGACCTGTGGCTAAATGTTTTTACAACCAATTTGTAATCAATATGTCAGGATGAAAAACATAAATAAAAACACACATGCACACACAATGTGTGGAGACATGAGGATGGACCCACATCTGTGGGAACACAAAACACACACATGCTGACAGTGAAGGCAGCTGTTAATCCACTTACCTCCACAGTGCTGCTCCTTATCAAAACCAGATGCAGGCAGAATGACTGCAGAGAGGAGAGGAACACAGGGTCAGACACACACCTGCATGCACACAAACACACACCGACACGACACACACTCTCTCCTGGGAGAGCCTTCACAACACAACAGACACCGACTGTAAGACCAGGAGATGTGACACGTGGCTAACGTAAAAGAATGAATGAGGAATCGACGTGTTATTCACAGGGCTGCTCTAACCCTCGGTGGAATCCAACACTTTACTGAGATAAATGAACTGATGAGTGCAAAAAGACAAACAAACAGCTCTGCTCTGTGGCTCTGACCCTTTTGACGCCACTGACAGCCACGACACATTCATCCTGAGCGAACATGAAGGGAGCAGCGAGGGTTGATGTGTGTGTGTGTGTGTGTGTGTGGACAGATTTAATTGCAGCTCCACATCTTTTGATTAATTGTTTTGGCCCAATTTTTTTTCCAACCTCCCCTCTGCCAGCGTGACCTTAACAAATTCATCCATCGCCTGGTTGAAATCTGTGCTGAAACGAGCAGTGATTTGGTGACGTGACGAGCCATTAATATGAATTGCTCTGGTGTGGACTCATTAAGGAGGCAGAGTGTGGAAAAGCCATGAGAGATGATTTGTGCAGAAACTTTCTGCCATCGTCACCTGCATAACAAGCCGAGTGGAGTCGACCACAGAAGAGTTGGATTCGTGCTGACTTAATTCTCAGTAATTGGTGTAAACACATGACTTGGGTGAAGAGCCACGGTGTTGGCTGCATGCACACGTACGGTACCAGGCAAGTGTTGTGTACAAAGATGTGGACATGTGGATGGAGAAGACGGTGATGATAAATGACCATATTTGATATCGACTTGTCACAACGGAGGCCTGAGAGGATCAAAATATTTTAAAAAAATCCATGTTGTCAGAACTTCACAAATGTCATTTTATGTGTTTAACCAACAAAACAGTTTGTGGTGATTGGGTTTATTTAGAATTAAACATGTCAACACATCGTTCTCAGAGTGTGTTGGTTCTGATTTGTGAAACCGAAGTATTTGAGATGAAGAATACTGTTTGGTGAGAGTGCCATTTTTAATGTATTTCAAAAGAGTATGAGGTTACACTACACTGTGTTTCCTCTTTGGCCTAACTTCTCCAGTGGCTGACTGTGACAGTTGACACTGTGAGGGCTGCAGGCCTCCATTTTGAGTCTGATTAGGTCCTTTGTGTTACCAGCTGGTAATAAGAACATCACAAACTGGCAGTGGAGAACATTTTAGGTCTAACATTTCCTTGTTCTCGCTCTGAGACATTTCTCACACTTTGACCTGTTGCGAGGAGGAGTTACTTGTACAGCATGTATCCGACAACCGACTGACTCACCGGGTATTTCGTTGCAGTCTCTGCGCTGAGTGCTGTTCCCCACACACGGGGTGTTGCCTTGAGCACCACACACACGGCTTCTCATCTGCAAACCTGAATCATCACAGGCTGACCACAGCGACCAGGCCATCCAGCCACCTGAAGACAACGGGAAACAAACAAACAAACAAATCAACAAAAGAAACACAGGCATCAATATGACGTCTGGACAACGGCGAGGCTCAGATGTCCTGGAAGCCAACGTGCCCACCCAGGCTGTTGCCACCCGCGGCTGCTAACCTTCCTAGCCAGCTAAAGAGCGCCAACACACCAAGAGTGTTTGTGATGTAAACAGGATTTGAAGAGTAAACCCATGGAGAGTTTGTTTAGTGCATAGCGGAGATGTTTGTCTCCTGAGCCAAGCTTTGGTGATGTTTCCCCGCAGCAGGCAACACAGCAGTAAACAAAGGCCTTCTGCCCAAGAGGAAGAGAGAGAAAGTTCCCAACACTCAGCTACTCTTTTTCAACTGTGCACTTGATGCATTCTTTCACCGTGTATTTAAAGGCACCAGAGTGGAGGCAGAACAAGCTACAGCAATGAAAAGCTGATGAGAGGCTAGTTTGTTGTTCAGGGTGCTCTCAAGTGTGCAGTTTTGGCATCCGGGGACCAAAGTGAAGGCACAGGCCAGGCTTCTTGTACCGTTCCTATCAGTCTGGTGCTCACCGACAAGCTGCTCAGTCACCAGCTGCTCCATTCTTGCAGCAGAGCCTTCTATACAAATAAAAAAAACACAAAAACACACTCCTCAAACATGTATACAAACCCTACATCCCAACAAACCTTCATTTATTATGCTTCATTTATTCACAAAGGCGACCTGCGTTTGCTCAAAAGGCCCAAGGATTCTCATTCGTATTCCGCCCTCTCTCTCTCTCTCTCTCTCTCTCTCTCTTCCTGCTGTCCTCTATTACTGCTGGACACTCTAATCAAATGACCCGTGACAACGGGGCATCAAAGCTACCTGTGACTGACAGGCGGGGTCGTCTCTCATTATTCATGCAGAGGGGGCAGCATCTCCGGGAGGACCCCGGCAGATGACTGACGCCTCGCCTGTCAATAATGTACGGACAGGGAGACGGATCGAGGCCGGGGAGAGAGTTGGATTGGTCGATCGTCACAGGCAGAGAAAGGATGTGTTGGTCAAACAGGGAAAACATTAACCTGATAAAGGACGGCTGATTAGCATCTTGACAAAGGAGGGAGGAAAAAGACAGAAAGCCATTACCTTTCCGGTGTCTGTAATTACCAGGGCGGCTGACTGTACGCGTTAACTCTCCCCATGAATGACAGCAGGGGTGATTGGAAATGAAAAGCAGTTAAAAGAAATGACAGCTTAGGGGAAAAAACTATTTAATTTAGGCAGAGATCATCTGTCCTGCAGGATAACACTGTTCCCAAACACACCTCGGAACATAGGAGTGGAAACGGCTTTGACAATTAATTATCTTCATCACTGTTTTTGTTTCAAGGAAAATAAGAAAAACTAGTGTTGGTGAAACGCTGAGAGATGTTTCATCTATTAATCAACATCAGTTCAAGTCCTGGTTTTTGGATTGTGAACAGTTTTCTAATGAATGTTGCTGTCCTTTTGGGACGGGAATTTCATTAAGATTATATGTGTTATATCTGGGTCTTTAACCCAAATGCACAAAAGCTAACAGAATTATTGTCTTATTCTGTTGTATTATGCAGATAACAAAGACACTTTTTCTATTATATTTAGGTTCATGTTTTTGAATTTTCTCTACACTGTCAGTGAAAAACAAGGCTTAAAAAAAAATTGACAGGACAAATCCTACCAGAAAATAATATTGGCCTGTCATTCTAGCCTCTTCATAACTAAATACCAGGGGGCGCCAGAGACTATGTTTAGTTTCAGTACATTATGATTATTGTCAGGATGAGGTTTTAAGGTTTAACAGAGTTACGTTTTGTCTTTTGCAAAACAATGACTCAAAAAAATATTTTCTATTTCCCAATACTACATTACCATCAGTCTTGCAGCAGGTCAAATACATCAGTGTGACGGCTTGTTTTTCTTTCGACTCCTAATTCAGATTCATTATGTGAGGTTTCTCTTTGATTAAATAACAAAAGGACGACTTTTCAATCCTTTCCACGGGCTCTGGTGGACACGGGACAGAAACCGTGGAAGGACATGTTTCTCCTGCAGCGCGACTCTGTTTCTGTTCTCGTTTAGGTTTAACCAATTTATTTTGTTGGAAGGTCAACCAAGTCATTAAGTGAAATAAAGAACACTGTCCAAGGAGACGACTGTGGGACAAAGTGTGAATCTGAATGCATGTGTGAACGTGACCTTACCGTCACAGGTGTGTGTGTTACACAGCGCCTCCTCAGTGTGCAGTCCTATGCAGATATTGCCCCCATTGGCAGGTGCAGGACTGTTACAGGCACGCGTGCGCTGGTAGTGACCTCCGCCGCATCCGACTGAGCACAGAGACCAGGACGACCAGCAGGACCAGGCACCGCTCACTGTGGAACACACAGATAGAAATAAACGTTTTGTTTTTGGTCAGTTTTCTAAAAGACAGTCCTGGCAGTTGTCGAGGAGAGAAGAGACTCAGGCTCCGCAGTGTTTTGCTACATAAACAGACTTGTTGGTTTTTGCAGCCACAGTTCCAGCTGTTTCTTCCTGTATAGATATGATGTATTCAGTCCTTGTATCCACGGACCCCAGGAGCTGAGGGCATCTCAAGGATGAGAGCAGAATGTGCTCTGACCCTGATGCAGATTTTACTCCTGCTGCTCCACATGGACATTGTTTATGCACCACTTTGTATCGAGACCTTGTTCAATTTTTGACAAAGCCGTGGAGACTGTCAAGTTAGTGCTAACGTAATTTGTCTGTGAAGCTTCCATAACTCGCCTCCATATTCATTTTCATTTAAAATGCCATTTTATTTTATGACAACAGTTCGAAAGGCTGACTATAATATGTATGTTTGTGAAGGTGAAAAGTGTCCAGTCAGTCTTCTGGGGCTCACACCTGACTTATCATGTAGCGTGTGTTTTGTTTTTTAAAAGGAAGGCACTTAAATCTCACAACCAGGATTCTATGCAAAAGGAAAGAAACATTATGTGGCAATATTTTTTTTAAATGAAGAAACTATACGACACACCTATTTTAAATCGTCCTGATCTAAATCTTCACCATACTTTGTTCAGCTACAGCAAGAGAGCTACAGTAATTTAACAGTTAGCTTAAATACAAATGTGTTAAATATCTGGGTTTTTTTTTGAAAAACAACAACAATGTTCAGTATTCCCGTAGTAGAAATCCTCCCACAGACTGTTCTTGTTGCAGCAGTGTTGACGATGCTGTTTCAACATCACATACCATCACATTTGACTTTGTTTTTTTTTTCAGTTTCCTGCTTCTCATTTATTAAGTCCTCCCTCTGTGGGACCGTTGATGTTTCATGTAATCTAATCTGACTGACTAATTGACCCGTCGACTGCCTGGTGTCGGTCTGCCTGGCGGAAAGAGCGAGCAACAGAGGGCGGCGTTGCCTGGTAACGTCACAGCGCTGCAGAAAACTCCATTAGCTGAGTGGATTAGTGTGACACAGAGCGAAGCAGGCTGTGACCACGGGCTGCCACTACACTGGCTGACTGATGCTAACTGGCTGTTTACCTGGCTGACTGACTGAGGGCCTGATGCACTGATTTACTCAACGCTCCACTGGCCATCCGACTGACACGCTGCTTTTACGGCTCTCTCTCTCTCTCTCTCTCTCTCTCTCTCTCTCTCTCTCTAACTGCTCCACTCTCTTCCTGTGTGACTTCCTTGCTGCGCTCATTACCCTCAGACATGAGGCGGAAACTAAGAAATCCATTTTTATTACCTTTATGTTTGTTTGGGTAATAACAAAGTTACTTCCAAATAAGTAAAATCAAACTTTCCTCTCAGGAGGAACAGTCCTGCAGGCGACAATAAACAGGGACAGGATTCTTCTCTTGTCGGGTTTTGACTAAAATTATTCACATTTGATTTAATGTTCGGTGTTAAATCATCTGAACTGCCAGGCTACAGAGTAGAATATGATGTTTCCTTGATGGTTATTTAAGCACCCAGTATAAATGTCATGCATCTATATTAACACTGGTCTAAAATTATTTTTTTTTTAACTGTAGATAAACTGTGTTCAATGTAAAATTAACTTGATATATATATATATATGTATATATAGATTGTGTGCATATGTATTACTCTACATATATTTACATATATAACAACCAGTGTCTCTGAGGCTAAGTTTGGGGTCACTTTGGGGTCATAGGTCGACTCCCCAAATACTGAAAAATAATTTCAATATTTTTATGATCTTCATACATGTTTTATCTAAACGTTATTGTTACAACAGGAAAAAAAGGAAAATAATAATTTTCTACACTATTTTCACAGGGGCTTCACACCAACTCATTAAGAGCTGCTTCTAATATTGGTTTAATTTTGTTTGTAATTGAAACCAATTAAATCGAAACAGCTTTTCTTTTTTTTTTTTTTTGGACAAAGGAAAGTTTTTGTAAATTCAAGACTTAGTTGAAATTCTCTTTCCTTTGAGAAAAGGAGGAGGTGAAGACCTGATGTGTACGAAAACCCAAACTAATCTTCCTCGCTCTGGTGTCAACAGACTTTAGACGTCACCTGAACAGATGAGCTCTGGTGTTAACGCCGTCTTCAGATTGTCTTTGATAACACTTAAAGACTTGGTATATTTCTCTGATGATTTGAAGAGTGACTCTAATTAACCCAGAATTATTTACAGCTTTACGACAAAGTAATTGATTTGCTGAACTAATATCCAGTTTGCCTGCAGGGACCGTGTTGCTCATTTAACATTTAGCAGGAAATAGATTTTGAGCAACATTAAAAGGCATTTTAAGGTCACAGTTCTCCAGTGATGAAAAGACGTCGGTGAATTCTGATCTTAACCCACTGATCTGTTTGCAGCTCACGTTATCTCACTACAGAAGAACGCCTGATCCTGTGTGTACATTCAAACTAGATTTTTCATAACAATAGTATTTGAATCTTTGAGTTTGTATTATTTCCTGCTTTTTCTTCAACCTCATCAATTTCAATTCATTCCTTTTCTTTTCTTTCTTTTTTTTTTTGTGTCTTCGACTTTGTCCACATTACCGTATTCCCAGGACAAGGACAAAGACAGACCTGACTGCACAAGTATCATTTACTGCATAGACAATGGCTAACCGACCGGCAACTTCACATCTGAGAATGACCAAGGCCAACTGGCCTGGACCTTCAGCAGCCATGTGTTGACCAGCAGAACAAACCAATAAAGATGAAATGTGACGTCAACAGTTGAATTGTAGACACTGTGGGAATTTACAGTTTTGTAGCAGGCAGTCATCAGTCATTGGTTTCTGTGTAGAGTTCAGCCATTTATCCAATGTCACCAATCGTGTGTGTGTGTGTGTGTGAGAGAGAGAGAGAACAGCCTGTGGTCAGCAGAGCTCCAGTCCAGCTAATTATGGTTTGATTAGTTGTTCTAAATAGGTAATTCCATTTATCCATGGACGTCTGCGCCACTGCGAGCTTCTGGTAACCATTAGCTAATGAAGCTAATGATCTACTCAGGGTGATTTTCCCCTCCCTGACCTCCCTCCCCACTTCATCCCTTTCTCTCTGCATCTCTTTATCTCAGTGTTTTGTTTTTTCTTCTGTTTTTTTCGACTTCATCCCAGAGAGTCTCTGTGCTCACCTGGACACGGCTGAACGTTACAGTCCTGATACTCCACAGGTGAACCGCGACACGCTACAGGGGCACTTTTCCCCTCCGGTCCTGAACACGATCGCCGCCGTGTGCGGTAGCCTTTGGCGCAGCTCTGGGAGCAGCTGGACCACGAGTCCCACGATGACCAGCTGGCACCTGCCACTCTCACCGCTGGCATCTTCAGCAGCTCCTCCACCAGGGCTAGAGAGGGAGAAGGAAAACACATAAACAGTTTAAAGCACCAGCCTCACCACGGGGTGATGCATTTCTTTGGCTCCATCGCTCAAAGCCCATTTTTTTTTAGCTCTTTACATCATCACAATGTCAGAGTCGATGCAGCCTCCTCCATGGGTGGACCGAAAGAGGAGACAGTTAATCGATGCAGGAGACAGAGCAGCATGCAAATGCCCCTGGAGGTGAACAGTGAAATGTGACTGTGTGCAGCTCTCTAAATGTGTTCGGTAGCCCTGGTGAGTGACCCCTTTACAAACAGCATTTAGCAAAGCACAAAGGAGGGTTTACAAACAGCATTTAGCAAAGCACAACGGCTGGCTTCACGGCTGTGGCTTTGCCTGAACTCCATAGCATGGATGGATAAACTGCAGTTCAGGGTAAAAATAATCTCTAGAGAGTTTTCAAACTGTTAAAAATTCAAGAAAAGACAGTAAAACTTCTATAATTACTGAAGAGGTCAATGTGAAATTCAAAATACTGTTCTACTGAGACAGACCTGAATTTCACAAAGGGCTTATCATTACTCTTCTTACATATTCATGTGACAGTGGAGAAAAAAAACACTAATTATTGGTTGAAAATATCCACTACATTTTTTAAAGCATACATAATAATAAAACATTTTTCTAAACTCAAAATCACAGCCACGCATGCACTGACCTGCCGTATGCACAATTACCAAATATAATAAAAAAATAGTGATAACACAGACAAGTGAGGTAATTAAAAAAATGAAAAGACAGGATTATCACTGATGAGGTGGAATTATTTTAGGCCCAGTGAGACTGAGAGAAATAGTAGCTCAGAGAAATGAGATGGAGCCAAGAAGAGTCCACATGATAATTCAACTCAAAACGGATGCTTTTACAAAAAGTAGGGACGGAATTAATCCTTTAAATCCACAAATAAAAAAAAAGACATCTGCTTCCTAAAGTTTGTTTGGTGCCAGTAAATGACATCATGTAACTGTGGCTGAAGAAATCTGCTGATGGAAATCTTAAAACAATGACATTATCTGTCCAACAGAGGTCACTTTACTACCTAAGTCGATGAAATACGGATAAAAAGTCAAGGTGGAAGTACAAAGTGTTCTTTTTTTAAAACATAATAACTACATCTAATATTACAAAGTAGTAAAAAAAACACAAGTAGCAAATCAGTCATTTTTTTATACTTTCGTCAAATGATCTTGGTACTTTTGGTTGACGTGACAATGCTGTAGCTAGCTAGCTAGCCCACAAGTGAAACGCTCTTTAGCATAAAACACTTTACTAGTGTTGTAGTTAATGTTCCCTCACGCTCAAAAAAACTCTTTAAAAACACAATCTTTTCATTAAATCTAAAGAGTTGACTCCTTCAATAAAACAAAGACATCACAACCCCACAACAACATTTGACTTACTATCTGTCTCGCAGACAGCTGTACCATCATTAGGACAGAAGCGTGTCTCCACCTTCCTGCGTCCGATTTGCAGTTCATGTGGATCAGAAAGGTGGGCTCTACACATGTAGCGCACCCTCTGTTCTTGACGGGCTCCGCCCTGAGTTACATTGACCGGCATCCAGGGAGTCCAGGGTGTGTTCCTCTTCACCTCTGGACACGCCTCCAGGTTACAGGCCTTGTATTCCTGGAGGAAAAGAGTGAAGAAGTCATTAACGCAGTAAAGAACAAACATCATGCATCAGTCAAATAACACACCTATTAATACTTTAAAAGAAAACCATAGTAATGTGCCCAGCATTGTTTGAAACATTCTGCTACTTTATCCACATTTCACTTCTACGTTGATGTAAGAGACAATAAAAAAAGCTGAGACATAGTCAGCAATAAATAAATAAATAAAATAAAATAAACAGTATATACTTTCACTGTATGTGTGTTTCCACATTTTGTTACCAACCAGTGCACATCCTGGACAGCTGTTGCCATTCTCACATGTGCGGACCCTTGAATGAACCCCTCCTCCACACTCAGTGCTGCACTTGGTCCAGGGGCCCCATGGAGACCAGAAGATGGGCTGAGGACAGGGGTCACCTTCGTTACAGAATCTGCAGAGAAAATGACGGTTATGGGAGGAGCCTGTGAACTCTGAGACCAGTGAAGACGTTTAAGTGATTGAGAACACACTGACAAAATGCTGATATAACAAATCCATAATCAGTTTTTGTATTTTAACAACGCAACACAAAACTAATACATTGGAAATGCCTTCGTTTCCATCAAGGTATTCTTTCAAAGTGTCCATTTTGAGTAGCAACATATTTTAAGAAGTTCTTTCGGCCACTACCATTAGACTTTGGTAAAGACAAGATAACTTGAAAAAAAAAAAAAAAAACTAGCTGCACCTAAGAAAAATAAGCCATTTGGATGTGTATTCAAAGCTATAAATGACACTATCATCAGTGTAGTGAAGTAGATTTAATATCTGGACCACTTAATATGCTCTTCTTATCCTCCATACCTCTGCTCCCTGTTTGGTCCAACACACACACGTCCACCGTGTCTGGGTGAAGGGTTGTTACATGACCGCTGCCGCATCTCAAAGCCTGTACCACAGGTGGTGCTACACTGTCCCCATGATGACCAGGGCGTCCAGCCTCCATTTCTGTGGCAGAAGACACATGGACAAGCATTAACTACCCGTGTTCCTGTATTTTTTTTCATCAATCCCCATGAGTTTTTAATTGAATTCTGTTTAATCAGACGTCGACTCACAGGGGGAATTTAAACGGTTTTACTTTTTGTCTAGATTGAGAAATGCAAACATGGAAGGAACACTGCCTGACTGGGAAACTTTTATTCAATTTGCTTAAGTGTTCAGGTCCTCGACAGAAGTCCTTATGATTTAATTGCTGCTTCTTACTTTAAAAGCACAATTTAATTTTGACACAAGGGATTTAATTTTAGGCACACGATGGGACAAAACGTGTGGAACATCTGCGTCTCAGCTCTGCTCCTCCTTCAGACACACATGTGGTGGAAGTGTCACAAAAAGAAGCTGGGTGTCACTTACGCTGACTAATGAGATTCAAAAAACCCACTGGAGACGGATGGGATAAAATAAGTTAGGACTTTCAATAAATGACAGTGTGCTGAGTCACTGCCTTATTAAAATAACAAGTTCAACTAAAAATACATCATGACATCATCTTTTTAGAACTATTTTAACAAGATTAGGACCTTTATTTACAATTTTATTTTTATTTTATCTAAAAAATGTAAATCAACAAATGGACAAATACAAGGCCAGCGAGAAAGGAACAAAATCGATGAAATATAATAAAAACATATATAGACAAGTACACAAAGACAGAAACACAAGAGCAAAAGCAAAGGTAATTTAAAATATCTAACTGCATTAAATTACTCGAACAATGATGAAGTGGAGAAAACTGCTTCACCGCACTGTGTGACTTAATTAGGATGTGAATTATAACTGGACTGGACAATTTGAGTAAATTAGAAATATTTTTGTATTCCGAGGCTGTGAGGCTCATACGTCATCCTTTCTCCTGTAACTAACGGTGGGAAAATGGGATTTACCGTTCTTTATTCCCCCAGTTCATTTCAGACCTCTGACATTTTAAAACCTGCTCTATTTTATAAATTGACAGAACAGAAAACCTTGGCTGTATCCTCCTGGTGATACAGCTTTGAATGAGTTTCTTCAATTCTGGTCTGGATCTAAAACCTTTGGCTTTTGATTAGCGCTTCGGTTGATGAGAGACAGATTTAGATTCTTATATGATTTGAGATATGAGGTGCCAAGTACTCCATTCAAATACTTCTTTATTCTTTGCAGATACACAGAAGCATTCTGAACCATATATACATATCAGCTATTTGTCTTGTGTCTTTTCTACCTTGAGCAGTTGGAAACTTCAATCGTGTGACCCTCGCAGTTTTTGCCTCCACATCGAGGAGCGGGACTGTCACATGACCTAGAGCGACATAAACAGGAGCTCGTGCCGTCCAAGCCGTCGTCGTTGTTGCAGGGTTGCCAGGGTGACCAAGGTCCAAAGCCGCCATTGGTGGTTTGATTTCGCAGCTGACGAAAGACAGATATTGGCAACACATTATCATAAATGAACGACTGAACCCCCCCCCCCACCAATTTAGGTGTTTTCTCTTTCCTTTCTTCACATTGTATATTCGTACCTCACATTCTAATAAGCTATGAGTCACTGACAAAGGTGAGAGACCTGCTGTTCAAAGACGACATTGGACTGGACAGTGTCTGGGTCTCTGCAGCCTCCGGAGAACAGTCGTGATGTTGTTAAACACCTTCATGATGTCACTCTTACCGGACAAACGGTGATGTTCTGCTTCCACTGGCTCATGTTGGAGCTGTCCTCCAGTGTAGTACATCTGCGCTCCCTGAAGTCCCATCCACAGTAAGGGTCCCTTGCCTCCAAACACAGCCTGGAGGGGGGAGGAGAGGGAGGTGGGAGAGGAAAAAAACTTTAGGTTGGAACTTTACGTACACTGCAAACACACACAGAATCTGCTTCATTTTTTATAGGTACATAGTAGAAAATTCTAAACTGATTATTTTGGGTTGATTTTTCAACTCTAAGAAGTGTTTAGGGGGCATTTTGGCAGCCAGTCACTTCCTTTGACCCCATATGAGTCAAGTGGACGTCGATGTGTTGACAGGGTGGGACAGTAGCAGACCCCTGTCAGGGACGGTCCTACCTTGTCTCACTTCAATGTCATGACTAAATGTTAGGGTTCTTCTTACTTTAACTCAGATTAAGTCTCCAAACTTGCTCCAAAACTCCAATGAACTTTGTGTTTAACTTCAAAGTCTTTAATCCTGAAAACCCAATAATCTCAGGGATATAAAATAACAAAGCAGCCCCCCCCCCTCCACTGTGGCACAAATGAAAAGAAAAGAAGAATTTTAATTAATTTGACCATCTGCACCCCTCAGCATTAACTTGCCCCCTCCTCTCTGCCCCCCGTTTATGTCCCACTGCTTCAACATCAGGTTTTTTGTGATCCCGGCCCCTTTTTCAGGGTCTTTAAATTGTGTTTTATCAAAGCAATAAGAAAAGAAAACAAGTTCCACCACTGCGACACAGTCTGAGACTCAGCTCCCACAGAAACAACACAAAGTGTGATTAAATATTTGCAAAACCCTTCCAGTAAAACAGAAACGTAATGAAGGCTAATTAAATCTGTTAATGACTGAGCAAAGCTGGAGAAAGCTCTGCTCTCGCTTCCTCTCCTTCGTGTACCACCTTTTCTCCTCCCTCTACTTCCCCCTTCACTCTCTCTCCACACCACTACGAGCAGTCTGGCACACACACACACACACAGAGAGAGAGAGAGAGAGAGAGAGAGAGAAAGTCAGAGAGAGAGAGAGACAGAGATGTTGTTGATACAACTCTCCGTGCCAGGCCTGGTGAAGTAATAGTGAACCCTCTCTTACTACTAGTAAGAGAGGAGAAACATGAACCAAAGATGAGATGGGGGTGGGGTGGGGGGGGTGGGGGGGTCCTTGATTTACTCATTGAGAACGTCTTTCTGGTTCGGTCACTGTGGTAGGGCTGTCTGTGTTTCCTCGCCCTGTCTCGTCTGCTGGGTGGAGTAATCAGTGTCATCACACTCACCTGTGTCTCTGATTAGTCTCACTGGTGTCACCTGGTGCCCTGGGTGTATATAGACCTGCCTCACTCATGCGCTGCTTGTGGGATCGGTGTTCTCTAGCTGTGTGTGTGAGAGTGAGTGGTCTGTGTTTGTTGTTTGTGTTGGAGAAGTCGCCCAGTTTTAAGAAAGACCATGATGTTGGAGAAGAGCACGCCTGTAGTCGATGCTGTAATCCTGGGAAGTTTTGTTGCTGCAGAACCTGCTGCCTGTAAACGGCGCTTCATCCCTG